GTCTTGAAAGACCTCCTGGTTGAGAGACCAATCGTCGTGACTGATTGGTCGTCGACTCGGGAAGTCCGCTAGGAGTTCAGTTACCCCTTCAAATGAATGGCGGCTATTGACAATAGATTTCGTTCGGCCCAGGCCAGAATACCGCCTGCAATCCTCTGCAGAGAAGGGCTTCGCGTACCTCCCTGCTTGTTTATGTAGGCCACTGTCGCTATGTTGTCCGACCGAACCTGCAAGTGACGGTTCTCTAACGTTGCTCCAAAGGCCTCCAACGCCCTCTGAAACGCCATCAGCTCTCTCTGATTTGAAGGCCTTGAAGACTCGCTTGAGACCATTCCCCCTGAGCGGTCAACTTGTCTAGATGGGCTCCCCAACCATAACTGCTGGCATCTGTTGTCACAATGAGCGGAGCTAACTGACCCCACTCTATTCCCCTTGGTCAGATTTGCCTCCTTCCGCCACCACCAAAAAGAGACCTCTTGACTTTGGATGGGAGCTGGACCGCCTGCTCTAATGTAGAGGTGTCCCCGTCCCTTACCCTCAGCAAGAACGACTGAAGCGGCCTTTGGTGGAACCTTGCCCATGAAACCGCTGGGAAACAAGACGTCATCAGACCTACCAGTCTTGAGATCTCTCTTACAGACACAGACAGATTGCTTTGCAATCTTGCCAGTGTCTGGTCCATCTTTACGACCTTCTCCAAGGAAGGAAAAAATCTTCCTCTCCAGTGACGAAATCTCGTATCCCAGGTACACTACTCTCTGGGAGGGTGGGAGTGCCAATTTGTCCCCGTTGATGAGCCAACCCAGACCCTGAAGGAGATCCTGAGCCACCCGCAGTTCCTCAGTCAATTGCTGATAAGATCTGGCCACAAAAAGAAGATCGTCCAAATAAGGAACAATCGTGATCGACCTCAACCTCAGGGGAACTAAGGCCACTGCCAACACCTTGGTAAAAATCCTTGGTGCTGAGGCTAGCCCGAAGGGCAAGGCCTGACACTGCCAGTGGAAGACCTGCGAACCCATCCTTATCGCTATCCTTAGGTATTTCTAGCTTGCTTGATGAATGGGGACGTGAAAATATGCGTCCCTTAGATCTAGTGTGGCCATAAAACAATTCTGAAAAAGGATACTCCTTACAGAATAGATTGACTTTATCCTGAAAGGTTTGTATCTCAGGGCCTGATTCAGAGGTCGAAGGTTCAAAATTAGCCAAAACCTGCCCGAGGGCTTTCCCATGACAAAAACGTGGGAATAACACCCTGAAGCCCAGTTCGCACTGAGGAACCCAAACTAGGACCCGCTGGTCTACTAGATCCCCAATCAGACCGCATAGAGCCTGAGCCTTCTTCCAGTCTTTGGGAAGATTGGTGACCAAAAACTTGCTTGGAGGACAGGAATCGAACTCCAGTTTGTAACCCCTCTGAATCAGGTCCCAAAAGTAGGGGTTCAGGGAGATAGACGCCCACTGAGGGAGAAAGGACCCCAACCTTCCCCCCACCCGGGACGCTTAAGTTATTATGACTTGGAGGGGCCTTGAGGAGGATTGAATAAAATCCCCCCTTTTCCCCTGTTCTTATGCCCTGTCCAATGTTTTTGGGCTGACCTTCTCTACCCCGCGGCATCTGGGATTTTGGACGAAAACTCTTCCTGAGAAATACTTTATTTTTACTTTCCGGGAAGGCTTTCTTTTTGTTGGCAGTACATTCGAGGGCCTCCTCCAACCCGGGCCAAAAAAGATTATCCCCTGAGAAAGGCAAGGCGCAAAGGCGTAGTTTAGATGCAGAATCCCCTGCCCAGGTTTTTAACCCATAAGGCCGCCTGGCTGAATTAACTAGGGCCTAAGATCTTGCCGCCAGCTTAACAGACTCCGCCAAGGCATCTGCCAAAAAACAGCTGCTTTGAAAAGTAAAGGCATAGACTTCAAAATCTGCTGTCTCAAAGTTCCTGCCACTAGATGGTTCTGTAACTGGGTAAGCCAGCATTCTAAATTTCTGGCGACACAGGTAGCAGAAAGGGCTGGTTTAAAGCTAACTGAAAAAGACTCCCATGCCCTACGTAGCAGGACCTCACCTCTCTTGTCCATGGGGTCCTTTAATGCCCCCATGTCCTCGAAGGCTAGATCCATTCTCTTAGAAATCCTGGATAAAGGAGCATCCAATCTTGGAACCTTATTCCAAGGCTGAGAAGCATCTTCATCAAACGGAAATCTTCTTTTCAGAGCCCCTGAAAAGAAGGATTTCTTTTCTGGGTTTTCCCATTCCTGTTTGATGGTGTCAAAAAGAACCATGAACCAGGAAAACTCTGCTCTTCTTAGCATGGAGCCCCTGGTACATGAGGTCATGCTTAGACAAAGACACTTCCTCCTCCTCAATTTCCAAGATCTCATAGATAGCCTTTAAGAGATCGTCCACTTCTTCTATGGCCAATTTATATCTGGAGCCTCTAGAAGTGGTACTCTCCTCGTAATCAGCCTCTGAACCCGAACCGGCCTGAGAGGAGGGAAAGGACCCACGGGTCCTCCTCTTCCGGGTCTTCCTGCCTGACTGCCCCTACAGCAGTGGCTGACTGCACCCAGGCCCTAGCGGAGCCTGCATCCTATCAAACAGTGACCTAAAAGACTGAAATGTGGCCGTCATGTCATCCTTGATTGAGGATAACACCTTGTGGCAGGTCGTGAAGGACTCATCCTTCATTAGGCTATCAATACAACCGCGGCACAGGAGTTTGTCACATGCAGACCCCAACTTAGCCACGCACACTGCACACTTTTCTTTGGGCCTGAACCGGGGTCCTATCCTGGGTCTTAACCTAAAGAAAAAGGACAAAGAACAATACGGACCCTCAGCTGCAAAAGACCCCACTACACACCCTGTGTTTTTTAGGGGAAACTAAAGCGTGCCCCACCCATCACCTGCCCCCCAACTGGGGAGACCATCAACCACCCTCCCAAGAGTCAGCTAAAGGGGACCCTCCCCAAGCCTACCTGAGAGGAACCGGTGCCGGAACCTGGATCCGTCTGCAATGAAGGGCCCGCATACATGATGTTCCGAACCGGTGTGGATCACACAGCCTCTGCTGGCTCCATGCCTCACTGACCGCCCGAGTGGAAGCCTGCGCCTCTTCAGGAGGCTGGAACCAGCGTCTCCGGCGCCCGCCAATGACGTCACTCTTTGCGCTGGACTTTCGATCTGTGGATAGCAGCCTCTTCACGGAAGTGACCTAACTTCTGGTCCGTGGTGCAGGGCCCTGCTGGAATGCAGGGCCTCGTCCACCGGAAGTCGCGTCAGACTTCCGGCCAACGGACACAAGGCCCGCCCCTACCGAAAGTCCCGCCCCGCTGTTCCCCTTCTGCCCAACGCTCAGCACTCCTGTACTGGCTTCCTGGGGGAAAGAGAATTTACCAGGCCCAAAAGGGAGCGGATGCCCAAACTCACCGCCGGACACCCCCGCTCCCCTGCAAGTGAGCCTGCCACCGGCGGTCCCCCGCCTGGGGATGAAGGCTCCCACGCGCTGCCAGCCCCACTCGCCACAGAAGGATAGCACCGGGGAGGAGGTACGTGAATCCCTGGGCCCACACTCTGCCCCTCTGAGAGTGCAGAGACCCCGTAGGTTCCAAACATGTTCCTTCTGGATCAGGAAACACTAAAAAACTGGGGATGGAGGCCTGGAGGTCCACCTTTAAAGGCGCGGGGGATGGCATGTTTCCTGACCCGGAGGGAGGAGCTTTACGTCTCAAGGGGCTGTCCTGGAGGACGTAAGGAGAAATATGCTACAAATAAACAGGTACAACTTATGTAGGAGGATTTGTTTCATCTCCGCGTATCACCTGAGGCCAGTCACTTCACTGGGTATATGAAAGGGTTTACAAAACACTAGCACTAGACCGTATTGTTCAACCACTTTGTAGTCTGCATATATGTTTTTAGTTAGGTCAAAGACCTTGCTGTGTTGTCTGTCTATGTCACAACATTGGCCAAACTGAATTACAAATCCTCTGACAAGCAAGGCAGGTCTGCTATACAGTCTCCTTCTGTTAGGATGTTTGCGTGGAGTTCAAATTGCATTTTGTTGCTATCTGGGGGTATAATAAGTAATGCCAAATTCTTTACAATCTAACTTAGAAGTGTCTTATGAACAGTAAGCTGGGCTTAAAGTGTATATCCAGCCAAAATGTCTTTTTTTTTTTACTTTTGGGATAGATTGGGGAAGGATCTGAACCCCTGCCTGTTAGACACATATTCCCCTCATTTACTGGCCCAGTGACAGCTGTTTTGCAAGACAAAAAGTAAAAGGAAATACTGCAACAGGAACACTAAAAACAAAACCCAAAAAAAAAACAAAAAAAAAAAAGATTTTTATTTTGTTCTTTAACAGAGCCCTTAACAGCGTCTTGTTTAGGATATTGCCTTACCTCCTGCCTGGTAAAACTGGCCAGTAAGTGAAGGGAAATTTCTCTAGCAGAGCCCCCTATAGCAGTAAAACCCGACAGGTTCTAATATTTCTCCAATGTATTCAAACACAACAAAACAAAGAAAAAAAAAAACAAAAACAAAATAAAAACAAAAAACAAGTAGGGGGGGTGGTTGGTTGGCAATGCAGTTTAATGGTACAGGAAGAGAAACTAACTCTAAAGCACAAATGTCTTTTTTCCCTCTTTTTTTTTTTTTTGCCATCTGTATCCCATTAAAAATATTTCTTTTCACTTCCTCTCCTGTAGGCACACCAAGAACGGATATGAAATCTATACAACTGAGGGAAATCCACTCTTAGACCGTTGTCACCAAAACCTATTTCCTATATTCCTGTTTTTTTACAAAACTTTTGAATTTTTTGTCTCAGTAACAAGGACAAATAAAGTAAAAATTTCCCTAAAAAAGGGAAAAAAAGGCAGCAAAAAAAAAAAAAAAAAAAAAAAAAAATCAAACAACACACTTTAGGATTTCATTCTTGAATCCTTCTGGAGCTACATACCATTTTTCTCATGTACAGTAAAATACTTACCAGTATGAGACTAGTTATTGAGCACAGCAGTATGCAGAAGGCAAAGAAAACATTCACTGGTTTTGGAGGTGGTTGGGGAAATACAAAAGCACTGATAATTGTCACCTGTAGAAAAGAAATTACACAGTGATTGAGGAACTGAAATAACATTTGCATTACAGAAAAAAGAAAAAAGCAGGAAACATATTCAAATGTGTATCAGCTCCCACATGCAAGTCAAGAATGTAGAAAATACATCATCCAAATACAGATGTCAGGTTATACTGACACCCACCCCAGTTAGCTGAATGACTCAGAGAAAGGGACCTGTCCCAGGGCAGTACAGCCTTTTGCTGCATTTGAAGGAAAATGATTGCACCACGGTAACAGATTTGATTTCTTCTTAGTATGAGTAAATAAGAATCCAACCCTGGAAAATTCTGAAATTATCACTTATATGGAAACAGTTTTAGCGTCAACTTAAGTTATGCACGTATGCAGCTGATGAAAGTGTGCACAGGCATATGTTAAATGTAAGAAACATACATGGGTATATATACGTGATTTTGCATTTCCGGGTAGTGGGTGCGCGCACCCTACCCGCACTGCCATTGGTGGCCTCAACTGTCGATCACCAGGTCCCGGCCAATTACTCCCCCGCCGACACACAGCAATCGCCAACTATCACTGATACTGTATGTAAGCAATACAGATCTCTCCAGTCAGCCCCTGCACATTGATTTGTATGGCTCAGCATAACAGAGCCATACAAAAGCAGTGTGCTGACACAGTGAAAAAAAAAAAAAACACACAGCACACAGTAAAACAGCACACAGTTAACCTTTTGATTGCCCCAGATGTTAACCCCTTCCTGCCCAGTGCCATTAGTACAGTGTCTGTGCTTTTTATTAGCACTGATCAGTGTATTAGTGTCACTGGGGATGTCAGTGACAGTAAGTTCCCACCCAGTGTCAGAATGCCCGCCGCATTCCCGCTAAAGGTTGCTGAAAAAATCCCAGTATCTATACCTCCATTTGTAGACGCTATAACTTTCACGTAAACTAACTAATTTACACGTATTGGGATTTTTTTTTTTTTTTTTTTTTTTAGCAAAGACCTGTAGCAGAATACATTCTGGTCTAAATTTATGACGAAGCTTGATTTTTTTTTAAATTTTTCACTGGACATGTTTAAAAAGACTGACAATTTTGAGAAAAAAAAACCCACTATATTTTTGACTTTGCTTTTTTTGTTTATAGCACACAAAAAAAAAACCAACACACACACACACACACCACACAGGCGATCAAATACCACCAAAAGTAAGCTCCATTTGTGGGGGGGGGGGGGGGGAGAAAAAGGACATGAATTTCATTTGGGTGCAGTGTTGCATGACCGCACAATTGTCAGTTAAAGTAACGCAGCACTGTATCGCAAAAAATGGGCTGGTCAGGAAGGGGGGTAAATCCTCTGGAGAGCAAGTGGTTAAAGAACACAAACTAACACAAAGTTAAACTTGGACCTATTTGTCAAGTACAACACTATTACTAGTTGAACTAAATGACTGAATGGCATTAAAAAGAAAATAAATACTTACCAGGACCAGAAGGGATGTTAATATACCAACAATAATGTTGATGATTCTATCCTGACAACAAAATAAAGAAAAAAGGATCATCTCTTTTGCAATAGAATTTGCATTTTCTATAAAAAACTGAATGTTTCACTTAAAGTGTTACTAAACCCACACCAGTTAAATCAGTCTGTATATGCAGTCAAGCATGCTTGTTATACTCACTGTGTCTCAGGGGTTTATTTTCCACATTGTGTAAAAAGGTGGTTTGATCCAGTCTTCTCTGATCCTCCCCTTCTTCCATTGTCACCTAAATGTCTCCGGATAGAACATTGGTTTGGTTTGTAGGCAATCTGCACACGGCTCAGTTTGGTGTGTATTGCTAGAGAGATTTTTTTTTTCTTGGGAGAGTGCATGTGATCAGCACAGGGCCAATCAGGACTGTCCAGACAGAGGTCCTGCATTCTCCTACAGGTGAATGAAAATGCCTACTACAAGCTGTAACCAGTGCTCTGCTGGACACTGGTAGAAGTCACAGGACTGCTGTAACTGCTCATGAGAAAAAGGAATTTAGCAGTTTATAATTTACTAAAATAATCGCATGTCCATGTTGTGTGTACTGTGGGAGACCAGATATAGTGAGTGCAGGGTTCTGGGCTTAGTAACACTTTAAAACACAGAGATTTCAGTTAAAAGCACAAAAACAAAGGCTTAAACTTATGACATGGTTTTTTATCAGGTTGTAAACACTAGTCCAAAAAAAGGTACCATCTCCTACAATCATTTCCAAAAAAAAAAAAAAAAAAATGTAGAGCAGTATTAAACCCCAAAACAAAAATTGTAATATATTGCAGCTTACTAATTCTTAAAACGCAGCGGTTGCAATCATTTTCTTTTCCTTCATTTTCACTTGGTGATCCAGCCAGCAACACACTTCTTGTCTTTGGCTCAGGATGGAGGAGAAACAGAGCCACCTTTGAGCAGTAGCAATGGCAATCTTTGGAAAGGGTAATGTTTAGATAGGCTAGCAGATTGAGGGTCCTTTCTCACATGGCAGACTCTGGCTGCAACCTGCTTGCTCATCAGGGGATCGGTCTGCTAGACAGGTCTCCATCCACTCCGTTTATACAGAGTGGACCAGGACACAGCCTGCTCTCCTCTATGGGCAGTCAGATGGAAATGGATCCCCTGCAGATTCTGTAAGTTTGTCTACTTACAAAGAAATATTTTTATCATACGTGTATTTTAAAATGACAGAGAAAGAATATCAGCCAAAAATCCAGGGGAAAAAAAAAAAAAAAAAAAAAACACACGATACAAATGTTATTAACCGAGTCGCAGTGCTGGGAGTAAAATAGGTATTTGATCCCCTACCAACCAACAATAATTCTGGCTCCTACAGACTGCTTATATGCTCATGTGGTACCCAGATTAGTCCTGCCAGGTGGTTTGTTAAAGAAAAGTCTAAAAAAAAAAAAAAAAAAAAAAAAAAAGGATTTACTGGCCAGATAAGGTGAAAAAAGACAAAGAAAAAAGCAAATCAAATGCAGCCACCACATATAAAAAAATTGGTAAGCTGCAATATAATACATTTTTGTTTCTTGGTTTAATATGGCTTAAAAGCAAACCTGTCAGTCTGTAAATAAATAAATAAAAAATTGAATTTATATTTCAACTCTCAGATCATCCTAAATGCCAGCTACAATAGACAATCTGTCACACACACACTCTCTAGTGGATCCTACCTTCACTCGGTTCCAGAGCTGCAGCCTCTTCAGATTTTGACACTTCTGGGAGTGTCAGATACCTATGTCTCCGGCTGCACTCTGTGGTTCCATCCTCTGACCCTCTATGCCACAGGTGTCAAACTGGCAGCCCTCCAGCTGTTGCTTAACTACAAGTCCCATGAAACATTGCAAGATTGACAGTTACAAGCATGACTCCCAAAGGCAGAAGCATGATGGAACTTGTAGTTTCTCAACAGCTGGAGGGCCGCCAGTTTGACACCCCTGCTCTATGCTACTACAGGACAAAGCATTTAGTTTTTAGGGGCTCACAAGAGGAACTACAAAGCATAGCAGGGACATGGGTACCTGACATTCACAGAGTGTTGGATGTAATTGGCTTTCAGCTGCGTAGATTTGTAGTTTCCACAGCTGGGCACTGCACCATGCACCAGGTGCTGCTTGACTTGTTTTTTTTTTGGTCACAAAAAGTCACAATAAGCCTGCTGTCAAACATAACAGCACAAAGTTCATTCATATAAAAACACAAGGTAAGCTTTTTTTTGTTTATTTTTCGTTTTTTTAAAGACTTCATACTTACATACATAGTTGAAATGTGTGAAAAGACACTGGTACATCCAGTTTAACCGGAGTGTGAATATATATATATATATATATATATATATATTTATTGGAAGTTTATTACATTCATGAAGTATTCAGACCCCCTTCACTTTTTTAAATTGTTATGTTGCAGCCTGATACTACCGTAGTTTACATTCATTTTGTTTGCATTAATCTACACTCACTACCTCTTGGAAACCTTCAGTGCAGCAGAAAGTTTTAGTAGCCTTCCCCAGATCTGTGCCTTGCAATAATCCGGTTTCTGAGCTCTGCAGGCAGTTCCTTTGCCCTTACAGCTCTGATGCATTGTCAGCCGTGAGACTTTTTATAGAGAGGTGTGTATCTTTCCAAATAATTGAAATTTACCACAGGTGGACTCCAATCAAAGTGAAGAAATATTTCAGCGATGAAGAGAAAAATGGGAGGCACCTGAGCTAAATTTCAAGTGTTGTTGCAAAGGGTCTTAATGCTTTTGTTAATGTGACATTTCAGTTTTTTTATTTTTCATATATTTGCAAACATTTTCTTCAAACTCTTTTTTCACTTTGTCATTATTAGGGGGTACCGAGTGTAGAATAAGGAGGGGGGAAAAAAAAAAAAAAAAAATTTAACTGTAGTAACAGAGTAGTATGAAAAAAAAAACTAAAAGAGGGCCTGAATACTTTATACATGGAGTGTGAAATATAAATATATAACAAAAAAAAAAATTTTTTTTTTCATTATTTATTTTTCCAATATCCCTGAATTACAATTGGTAGATTCAGGATCTCTCTCTCTCGATCTATAAACACACTTATATTTGCAAACATGTTTATACTTACCTGCTCTGTGCAGTGATTTTGCACAGAGCAGCCCCAATCCACGTCTTTTCTGCCAGCGCTCTTGGCTTTTCCTCTTCTCAGTGTGGCTTCATAGGTACATGCCAACTATTGTGGCACACCTGCGGACTTGATCCCAAGCCGCCTGGATCTATAGACATACAGGAAAGCTCGGCCCCCACCACCGCTCTCTACTCACAGGCTGTGATTGAATTGTCTGTGTGAATGGACAATGTCCATTCACAGAAGTGTGGCTCAGGAGCAAGCCTGCTTGAGTGCCCCCATAGCAAGAGGTTTGCTATTGGAGAGCACTTGGCAGGGGAAAAGCCAAGCCTGCCAGCAGGGGACCCAAAAAGAAGGAGGGTCAGGACTGCTCTGTGCAAAACCATTGCACATAGCAGGTACTGTAAGTTTTAACATGTTTAAAGAATATAAAATTTAAATGACAACCTTTAGAATCACTTTAATCCTTGCAGTGAAAGCCCAGCCCTACTGCAACGAATGACTTTTAATTTTCACACATCACTATTATCTTACAGGGAGAAAATATCTAACCTACAGTATAAAATGTAAATCTCATGAGATCAAGAGAAAAGACTTTTTTTTTCTATTTCAATATTTTTTTATATTAAAGAAGTTTTTGTTTTTATAATACAACTAGCTCATGATATGCTCACGCATGGGCAGAGCGGAACAATAGCATACATAAACAGAAACAAATCAGCAGGGTGCATTACCAAATAACGGAACGGCCAATGACATCAAGGAGGAACGGCAAAAAGCCGAATTAAATAGTAGCAGCAGCAATCCATCATATTACCGGAAAAAAAAAATTTAGGAAAAACCCCCACCGAGAAGTATCAGCTCAAAACATACAAAAAAAAAAAAAAACCCCTCCAAAAAAAGAAAGAAAATATAAGAATATAGAAAGAAATAAGAAAAGGAAGAAAGATTCAGGGAGAAAACATAGAATAAAGGAAGACTAGAAGAATCACGGATCCAGGGCTAGCACAGGCAACGACTACAAGAGGCCATAGCTAGTAGGAGGCAAGGAAAAATGTATCCAAGGTTCCCAAACCTTAAGGAATCTCGGATGAGAATCATAAAGTACACTACACATCTGTTCATTGATCAGCATAGCAATCATCCGGGTCTTCACCCCCTGGAAGACAACCAAAGGGGTTCTCCAAGCTTGAGTAACAGGAAAGTCAGATAGCATAATTCCACATACATTGCCATAGCCATGGCAACATAGAAAACATAGCAAATGGCACCAGATCTCATACAGCGCATGCACAAGATCTAGTGCCGATATCATTGGGCCAGCTGCAATATGGCAGCATGGGATTAGAGGAGAGAAGGGGCATACTAGTATGTGGCCAAACATAAACAAAGGTACCAAGTAGGTTTATTCTGCAATAGATATTACAGTGATGGGGCAGTTTCAAAGAGGGGGATGGGATTGGCTTTAAAGTGGAATCTCTAAATCAACAATAATTTTAAATCCTTATGCCACTAGTATTAGTAAATAGATAAGTAAATCTAATATACTTTCCTGTTTTAAAAACTCTTTTCTTATGTTTCTTCAGTTACTTCCTGGTTTCCAGCCCTGGGCAATTGATGTCATACATCCTTTGAGTTTTCAGGAGGGGTTTTCTCAGCTAAGTACACTCCCCTGCCTGACCGCCTGCGCTAAGGGCAGATTGACTCTAGGAGGTAAATGCTACATGAATCATCTGCCCTTACTCATGATGGCCATGGCCAGAAATGCTGGGGGGGGTTTCAAAGTGTTTTCTCAACAAAATAAAGCATGGAGACATGAATGGATGGGAGAGTTTGCATTGAATATAAAACATGAATTAAATAGTGTTTTCAGTTTGTGGTGCTCAGGTACCGTTTAGTTCTGCTT